ATACAAGTGTTTATTAACAGTTGTCTACCCAAGATACTTCGGATCCTATGGCCAGACACTATCAGCAACAAGTTACTGTGGGAGACAACAAATCAGATTCCAGCGGAGGAAGAAATCAGGAGGAAGCGCTGGAAGTGGATAGGGCACACATTGAGGAAATCACTCGATTGCGTCACAAGACAAGCCCTCACATGGAATCCTGAAGGTCAAAGGAGAAGAGGGAGACCAAAGAACACATTACGCCGAGAAATAGAGACAGACATGAGAAGAATGAACAAGAACTGGATAGAACTAGAAAAGAAGGCCTAGGACAGAGTGGGTTTGAGAATGCTGGTCGGTGGCCTATGCTCCATTGGGAGTAACAGGCAAAAGTAAGTAAGTAAGTAATATTATTTAGACATTCCATATCTAGATCCAATGGATTGTTTTCGTATTCAATCAATATCTTATAGTTTTACATTTACGGAACTTCGTCATATTACGTACTTAAATTATTTTCAGTAAAAAGAAAATCACCATCCACCGAGAACATTTTTTCGTACTTTTTCTCAATGAGAATTTAAAGAATCCCATGATGAAAATTTGGACGATACAAATAAGTAAACAATACTGTTTTCATTTATATCCTCATCTGGCCTTATACATAAGAATAAAGCAATAAAATGTCTTAGTCACTAGTTTAATAGAGAAAGTAGGCCAAATTTGAATAAATTGACTTGAAAATATTTTATATGAATATCCATCAATATTTGAAAGAATATGATGTTAACCGCGAAACAAGAAGCCTTAACAAACTACGGAAGCTATTTTGGGGGACGTTATTTCATTTAATTCAAAGCTTGTGTAACAGTAACATTTACTTTTGCCCCTAGTCTATTCTACATATCATAAGCTTTCGTTTTATGTATGAGTCACTGCCATAGCCTTTTCTGTTCCAAAGCTATTTTAATTTAGACGTACCCTTTTTTACTCTATTTTCTACTCTAATCCCCCAGTTTTGGACATAATTGTATTTTCCTAATTATTGTACGTTGTGGTCAGGTTGGTCATCTATTTATTCATGTATCTCTTTACACTAATCTGAATTCGGAATTCGGTTATCAGATCGAGATTGGAATAAAGCGATTAGTGTTCCAGTTGTCTTGTTTTCTCCCTCTCTCTCGCGTGCTTGTCAGTCAATCAGGGATAGAATGGTTTTCGTCTCTACCCCCGCTTTGAACTCACGCATACTAGTCTCAAGGTTAAGCCTATCAAAGTCTTAATCTACATTAGACAATTTATCCTCGGCACGAAAGTGGGTAGACAGATCAAGGACGTGACAAAAGCGGAGACGGGGATGGAACGTAACAGAATAATTTGATAAAATTTGGGGAATGAATTTATATAAGACATTATTTGTGATATTTACATTTGGAATAATCTCCGTAATTGAAATTAGATAATTCCAACGTTTTATCCAAGTAACTCATATAAACTTTAAAGTATTAGTCAAAATCAACATTATCAGAAAATTTATAACGTTTAATAATCAAATTAAATCTATGCCAAGTGCTTAGTACATCGTATTTGGATGTTGACTTAAGTAAGTGGGATGTTATGAATCAGTAAGTCGTTGATTATGTGAAACATCTACAATGTGAAAATAAATAAGTGTGCTTGTATATGTGAATTAAAGCTATTAATAGTTTATAACTGATTAGTGAATGTTAATTATCTGTTTGTTAAAAGTAAAAATAAAAATAAAAACGCAAATAGTAAATTCACTTAGTATTGTTTGTTTGGATCTTCCCATCGATGTGTTTAGGACTGCAACTGGTCAGTCTCTAATTGGCATATGTGCATACTGTGCGTATTGCCTCGATATACCTTAATTCACAAGCATGGTAAGCAGAGATGGATAGTGGCTAGCAGTGGAATCCAGGACGCGCGTTTCGTCCGAGTGGATAACGCGATGGCGTTTGAAGCGAGGGTACTGGGTTCGAGTCCCAGAGTGAACATCAACTCTGAGATGCAGGTACATCCAGCTGACGAGTCCCAAATAGGACGAAACGCGCGTCCTGGATTCCACTGCTAGCCACTATCCATCTCTGCTTACCATGCAAATAGTAAATGTTTTTACGATGACGATATGTATGTAAAATAAGAAACATCAAATACATAGTTGTGGTGTTAAAATTTTCACATTAGTTGAAATAACGTCACATCTTTTGAAATAACCCTATGTGTCAAATAAACAGAGTGGATATAGATAAGGTTCATTTACTTGTTAATGATCGTTTGCAAAGGGCTAGCTAGTTGAATACCAAACTTCGTGAGCTTAAAACCCTTTCAAAAGTATTTTGGTCTCTTCAAAGCTGATCTTGTGTCCTATTTTTAATGCACGAAACGCTGTTGCTGATCTATCCTGAAGTCTCTTGAGATCATCCGAGAATTTAGAGACACGTTTCAAACACCCTTTGTATTCCTTCAACATTACATTCAACGGTCTAGAGTTTTCTTCCTAGTAATTTGCATCGCAATGATGGCGATTGTTCTTCCTTTGGAAGTCTATCCTTAACTTTCACTAACGCCGATCGTATGTTATGATTAGTACAAAAAATAACTTTTGCATTACGTTTGTGTAGAATTTTCTTATTTCCTTTCAATTTCTTATTTAACAACGGTCTCCTTCCATTCGCTCGATTTACTCTCTGATTTAGTTTTTCTTTCATTTTTACACATCTTCTTTAGGAATTATTTACCGTATTTGTTTCCTCTACTTTTAGACAATATTATGTTCAGTTCATTCGATTGGTCTTCTTTCTCTGTAATAAGATTACAAACCCTGTTAATTAGTATTTTTATCACTATGAACTTCATAGTATAAGCATGAGCTGGCCTGTTATCTGAGTACGTTTCAAAATCTGTTGATTTCCGGCACAATAATTTTTAAATTAATAAAGAACAAAGAAGGAAGGAGATAAGAAGCGGAGAGAAACAGGATGTAAAAATTAATAAAGTCGTTTGTTGAATCATATCTGGCCAACGAACGGGCAGGTTTGTTATGAATTTCACCTGAACATACGAACTATAGCTATTGGTTCGGATCCTAATAGCTTCCGTTATACGTAGAAGACGGGACTGAACTCCATTGGAGAGTGACGAAGGTATGCAATAGATCACTCCAAATCTTTTGGTTTTATTCACCATACGATCACTGTCAACTAGATGTGCCAAGACAGAGATGTCAATTGTTTTTGTCTGGTCCTATCCAAACAAAGCAGAGGGATATTCAGTCATTCATTGGTTTCGCTGCATGCTATAACGTCGAATGTAGCTATCTCCCCAGCTCAATTTGTAGATGCACATCAAAGAGGCAAGCTCAGGTAACTTGATCTCTGTTTGAGTAGATATCACTGGTCTACTAGGAAATGTCAATGAAAGAATAACTGCGTAGGACGCCCAGTTTAATCCCCTCGTTAGTTTATCAAGCAAGGTATCACTAGATATATCCTCTTTGAAATCGTTCATTGACTCGTATATTGGGTTGACTGGTCCTATATTTTTATAGATCCATATCAATGTTCATGTATACTAGAGTACAGCCTAATGACGATCTCATTGAAAACAATGTTGTTCGCTTATGTAGTGTTCTAATTTTTTATTTATTAAAAGCCTTCAATTTATAAACAGTTTTTATAAATATATATCTGCCATTTTTTGTTTTAAAACGATAGTTTTTATTTCAATTTTTAAACAACTTCCTTATTTTTATTTGAATGTTTGAATTCTGCTTTCCTATAAAACCATTAAATGTATAATATTTCCTAAACACTGTGAACATATAAATTTGTTTTATTATCGTTAAATGTATTCGGAGTAAAAACAAAATCGTTTGAAATCAAGTAATCTTTATTGATGCAAAGTAGAGACTTACAAAAATTCTTTCGTAGAGGCATTGTAACAAATTCCGATTTCGCTCGTAATTATATAAATACAAAAGAAATCCACAAAAATGAAATGCCTAATTTCAATCTGTCATAGCTGTTTACATAAACAAACCAGTTTTGAACCATTGTGCTGAATAAAATTTCAATTGTTTTAATTTTACGGAACTTGATCGACACCAAGGTTAGAAACTAATTAAGGTTCACTGTTTCGCTTTGTGAACAGAGTTGAAGATGTTTCGAAACTTTGCATATCAACTTAATTATTATTCGAGAGCTTAACAATGGCATCAGGATACCTCCTTTCATAACGTAACTTCTATTTATCTCCTGAGTCACTTCATATTGTGAATTATTTATTCATGGCTTATTTTTCTTATTGCCACATCCTGATTGAACTATCAAACAAGTCCTCATTAGCTAGTCAGTTCCTATTGTAGTAGTGTTTTGTTAACGAGAATACAGGTAGGATAGCTAAATACATTTTAAAACTAAATTACAGAGTATCTTGGCAAAATATAAGAACCATACATTAAATACTTCATTTGCAAATTTCCATCATTTGTCTTTCACATTCGGTATGATTCTTCCGATTCACGATTCCTTTCTAATTTCGTTTCTGCTTTTTTCCATGTCAACCTTAATAGCCATCTGCTGCCAGCTTTTCCACTTCCGATTGGTGTTACATACTACTTATTTCTTAGAGTAACATACTAATAATTCTCCCATGAGTGTTAAATTATTGGAGATCAATATCTGATGAATACCCCAAAATAATATGGTCTGGATTTACTGTAATGTCAAAAACAAATAAAAAACTTTTCGACTTCAGACAATTTTGTTCCAGTTTTAACCAATCATAAATCCTGAAAATAACAAACTCTAGCAAGCCAATACAATGGAACTTCGCGAATAATGTAAAAAATAGCCTAAATAATTAAGAGATTAGATATACAGACAGATTTGAATAAATGTGATAATTCGGATCTTTTTTATTAATTGTAATTGATAGTTCTATTTTGATCAGTATATGGAATTAGACTGCTTATTTTTCTCGTATTTTCTATCGTCTTGATGATCTACAATTTCAATGTAATGATGTTACGTCTCTTCCCCATTCTACTTCTAATGATTTTTACGTCAACAGGTAAGTTAACTTAAGATTTTTTGGTCAGTATATATTCCTAAATTAACAACGAATTCGACAGTCCTTTATACTGATAAAAATTTGAAATTAAATAAAATTTGAGACCATTATTGTTAGGCATACTAAATTCACTCTGTAACAGTGGAATTGAAGACATCCGTTTCGTTCTGCTTACAACTCGTCAGCTGGATGTGCGTGCATCCATGTTAGTATTCATTCTGGGACTCAATCCAAGTGCCTTTTATTTCAAACGCCTGGTGCATTATCTGTCGAGCTAATGAATTCTGATATCCACTAAACTTTGTAATAGCAATGAATTTTATTATTTAATTGTGTTTGAATCTTTTAGTTGTTTCAAATGCTAAAGACTGACTTTAATTAAAATCTGGTACTTAACATAAACAACGGGAAGATCTAAACAATCACAAAAAAGAGAAAAAATTATTAATTTAACATTTTCTTTGTCGATAAAATAGTAAAGAATAACTAATTTTAAGATTGAAACAATTGGTTGTTAGTTTGCAAATTGACTGTTCATTGTATGGTTTTCAGAATTTAGTGAGGTAGTCTGTAAGTTTTGCTTAAATACATTCGATTGTCCCCAGTTGTGTTCTATTCACTACAGTAGCATTAATTGAAAGTGAATGAGAATCTTTTGCGGTCACAAAACATAAGTTGTTGAGAGAAATTGTGAACAAGACCCGTCAGATGAATTACTTTTTATGTCTTAAGTGAGTTTTCAAAATTATCAACAAGCAGGTAGATGAATTCATATAAATGTACACTGATTAATGATTTAGTATCGAACAACGCCTTGTTCGTCTAGCTCTTAATGATTAACAAATTCTACAGATTACTTTTTGTTCATCTCTTCCTTGTTTTATCTGCAAACTCGAGGGACTTTATCTTGCTTACTTGAACTAGAAGTTCGCCGATACTAAAGACTTATTAAACATGATACTATAACCAACCAGTAACAAGTTAGCGTAAATACAGGAAGTCAGCCATGACCGGAAAAGCTTAGTTGTTGCATTTATGGTTGATGGCATTTTCATAATCTTATGATTATGTACTGTTTTGTATTATATGTTGAAACAAGCATTTGGGTAGATGCTAAGTAAGAACACTTAAATATATAATATATTTTTAAAAGTCTTCACTTATAGTTAATTAGTGTACTTTCTAAGCAACATATCTGAAAATTTTCAGATCTTTCTTAACTTAGTATTTGAGAGCAAAATAATACAGCATTCTTTGTATATTTTTTTGAGTATATATATTACTGAATAAAACCGTGAAATTCTAGCTTCACATATTTATCCATTACTCTTATACAACAATATCATTAGTGCTTCATTCGTATGAATAAAAGATTTTCTTAATATTAGATGTTTAAAGTCAAATGTCATTTTGTGAAAAGAAACTTTTCAGACACATTAAATCCTTTTATCAACTTGAAAAAATATATTAAAGATTCCCATTGTAAAAATTAGAACAAAACAAGTAAGCGAACGATTGTTTTGAATTAGATTGTCATCATGCTTTTACTCTAAAATATATTAATATTTATACTGCTCAGCTAAGGATAATATATATTTGTTTAAGGCACTTGAAATTACAATACTTCAGCTTTTATTGAGGTAATATTATACAGATTCTTTTATATAAAGTGAAAATGATACTTCTTAATTAATAAGTGACAGTGGTATGATAAGACTTTGCCAAAAATATAGATAATTGAACAGTCATTTCATAATTGTATTGGACTAATCAACAATCTACACCTAGGACACCAAGGTTTTGTGAAAAACAGAGAAACATCCATCCACTGAGTTGAAACTGAATAGTACACTAAAGCTTGGAGTTTAAAAGTGTACAGTAATTATTATCGGTATGGGATTGTGGAAATTGTTGAATTTCATTTAAATCATTAACCATCCTAGGTTAGATCAATATTGAAAATCTGTGAGTACTGAACAGATATTTTATCCTTGTATAGGACTCCTCAGTAGTCCACATCCACGATCTAGTACATAGGCATCGAACACATGACCTTTGGTTTCGCACACGAACCCTTAACTTCCGAATCACTAAGTTAGCATCCAACTATGTTGACGTCTAACTTCAATCAATTCACAACATTACAAGACCACCTCTCATTATCGCCGGCGGGTAGCTATCTAGGTTCTATTCCTGCGTTCTGATTGTTGGGTGAATACTACTGTGGGGTGCCATATCAAAACGAAAAAGGTTGTTCAGTGCTTTCACGTCTTTAATCATGATCTAATTTATATCAGTTGATGATCACCATGAAAGTAATAACTAACTGATTATCCTCTATCATTTTCTGTGCAACAAAAACCACAGAATGTGTATTTTAATAGCTCTTTTTTATTCGTTTTCACATATAGTTTTAGTAGTATTTATAAAAGAATTCATGATGAAATAATAAGTATGGTAGTTGAAGATCTAATTTTCTCAAAAATCAAAAAAGTCTATCTTCTCAAGATGAATATAGTACAATCATGAAAAACATAAACAATATTCTAATGTTTGTATTATTGAGTGTGACACTAGTTAAATTATCATTATCAGAAGTGGGTTTTGTGGAGATTCAACCAGGTCTGTTGGGAGATATCAACTCACTGAAGACATTGGTCAATGGTTGCTCAATTTCGTGAAAATATAAAAAAATTTCATTAGTCTATAAGAAATTACATGAAGGTTATTCAGTTTAATGAAATGTCTATTTTCTATTCAATTTGTTATTTTCATTTTCACTGAGTAATAATATGATATTAAAAATTTTTTTCTTATAATGTAGATATTGAAAAACAAATTATTATTTACTGGAGTTAATTTAGTCCATTCACTTAAAGGGTACTTAAATCATTATTCCTTGAGGATAAGATGTAACTACGATTCTTTCATACATTTTTTTCATACGTAATTTTCGAAAATATTCAAAATCTTAAAATTCATAGGCTATTGAGAATGAATTTTCAATTATTCTCGATTGTTATTGCAAAGGAAAGATAAAATCGAATCAAAATACTCAAACAAATCAATTTATTCCGAAGTATAAATAAAATTTGAAAACAGACGAAAGTTTGTTATCAAGTAACAACAATAGATTTTCCCCTAATTATGAGAATTTTTGTCAGTTTAACAGTAACGTTAAAATTCTATAGTGGTCAAAACCATCTGTGTACATAAACCATAACCCTTTGAATAATTTTATTCATTTATTCCTGAAATCCACTTCAGTATTTGTACAACTCACTGGAATCTATCCTGGTTCAACAGTTATTCACCTTTGAAATGTATTAACACTGAGTTCTTGAGTGCTAACTGTTATGAGTTTTACTACTATTAATAAATTAATGTTTCTTTTTTCAAAAATAGGTCTTGGCCATCGTTGTTATGTGTGTAGTAAGTGTCAAGACCCATTCAGAGTTCAGGATACTGAAATACAAAATGGTTGTTCCTTCTGTTCTGTAAGTGATGAGAAATATACCTTTTATGTCAATATTTATAATACTTTTTCTGAGAATTTCCGTAGACATTTATGTAACTGATAACGACCATTCAATTTTTGCATTCAAATTTTTCCATGTACTAACTGAAAGGAGTTATCAAAATATTGAAAATTGTGACTTGTTAAAAACCAACATTGCTCGAGTTTCTAACTACTTAGCACATTTTCCATACGTGACTTAATGTTGAATCCTATGTCTCACATTATATAAATTTAACAATTTACCTGTAAATGTTTACAAAACGTTCTCGTTTGTTCTGTTCAGTAGATTTTACAAAAATCAAGTCTACATAAATTAATAAGAAAGAAATTTTCGTAGTTGGTTATTCCTTTCAAAAAACTAGTCTATTTCAATAAATATTTTAATTTGGTGAGTAAATAAACTATGTAAATCAAGTAATAATTTGTAGAGACACTTAATTCATCACACATCTATTTTAGATTTGACCACCTATGAGAGCGGAATCAACAGAGGTCGTATCATATTTAAATCTCACGTTGTACGCACAAATGCATTCCTTATGCTTCTGGTAAATCTGTAAATAATTGGTACAGCATTTTTGTTTAACGAAAATTAACAAAGCTGTCTAAAAATCCTGTGCAGTTAATTAAAAGTATAGGTATAGGAGGAAAATTTAAGTAAAATGAAAGTAAATATTAAATTCTGATAGTTAACGGTAAGTGTTTAACTCAGAATATAAGTGTCTAACAGTAAGATTACTGCAAATCAACAATTCTTAACCCAAAGAAGGCTAAAAGTTATATTGGGTGATTGGAGGTAATTTGCTGAAAGCCTTAAAATTAAATTTTGTGTTAGTTGGTTAGTCAAGGTGTACCTGAGATATTGAGGAAACACTTAATTCACTCAATGCTCGAACCAGCTTGTCCAGTGTTACATTCAAAGATGTTACCACTTAACCATATGGATCTCGAATGATCTGAATGTTAACTAATAACTACTCACTGATTAGTCAGTTCTAAAAGAAGTCATTAGCTGCTTGAAAAACTTAAAGACGATATCTTTGAATGTTATGTTAAAGAACGTCATTTGAATTTCGTGTGAATACTCATTTCCCTTTAGATTTCTGGTTTGCTGGAGAATGTCAACTAGCACAAAACCTATGTCAAACTGGATCTCTTGATGACTGCCTTCATTAAAATAGTGCATAATATGTAGAATCACTTAGAACAGCGACCACAACGGAACCCAATCTACAGAATTTAATTAACGATAACCCGGCGATAAGCATGAAGTCCTGTAATTATTTAGAGGATAATACGCACAGTATGCACATATGCCAATTAGAGACTGACCAGTTGCAGTCCTAAACACATCGATGGGAAGATCCAAACAAACAATACTAAGTGAATTCAAACTTCACCCCATCGCACAAGCAAGTGGCTATCAGGACTCAGTGGCTGAGTGGATAACGCGATGGCGTTTGAAGCGAGGGTACTGGGTTCGAGTCCCAGAGTGAACATCAACTCTGAGATGCAGGTACATCCAGCTGACGAGTCCCAAATAGGACGAAACGCGCGTCCTGGATTCCACTGCTAGCCACTATCCATCTCTGCTTACCATAACTAATATTGATTTCAGTCATAATAACGATCCATGTGAAATAAACAGGTTGAATAAAAGAAAAGGTCAAATTACTTGTTGATGAATATTTGCCAAGTGGTAGCTAGCTGAATACCATCCTTTCTGTTTAGGCTGTTCTTATTCGCCCATATATACAGCGCTTCTGCTGTCAATCTTTCTTTATGAGTGTTGAAACCTTTCTGAAGTATTTTGGTCCCTTCAAAATTAATCATGTGTCCCGTTTCCAACGCATGTAACGCTATTGCAGACTTACTCTCAAGTTTCTTTAAGTCAACCGAGGTTTTGTCAACTTTTTTAAACACTGTTTGTGTTCCTTCAACCTTACCTTCAATTGTCTGGATGTTTCTCCAATATAAGCCGCATTACAATCATGACAATTGATCTCATAGACAATATTTTGTTGTTCTTCCTTTGGTAACCTATCCTTAACCTTCACCAATGACGATCTTATAGTGTCACATGTCCTAAAATACACTCTTATATCATGTTTGTTTAAAATCCGTTTGATTTCTTCCGATGTTTCGCTACGGTATGGTGTGACTACAGTGGACTTCCAATCTTTTTGTACAAGTTGTAGTTTAGCTTTTCTTTCCTTTCTAACAATCTTCTTTAAAAACTCTTTTGGGTAGTTGTTATCCCTAAGTGTAGCTAAAATCCTATTCAATTCATATTGTTGGTCTTCTTTATCTGTAACAAGCTTCAGACTTCTGTTAATTAAATTTTTAACAACTGTGACTTTCGTACATAAAGCATGAGCCGAATCAAAATCTAAGTATCTCTCTGAATGTGTTGATTTTTGGAAAACATTTATTTTCAACTTCCTATTATTGAGTCTTCGTTCAACCATACAGTCGAGAAATGCCAGTTTGTGGTCATCAGACTCTATTTCCTTCGTTAGATTAATTTGTTCCGAAATGTTGTTAACATTTGCAAACAATTCTTCCAAATAGTCCTGTTTAATGATAACAAAAATGTCATCTACATACCGTAGCCAGACCTTTGGTGGACAAACACTTCTTGCGATTGCACTAGTTTCGAGTGAATGCATGAATAAATTCGCAACAATCGGAGAAACTGGTGAATCCATAGCTATGCCTTCTTTTTGTCTGCATAGATCTCCTCGAAATATGAATAAGGTGGACCTTAAACATAGTTCCAAACAATTGATAAACTCAGATGGATCTAACGGGCAACGTAAATGTAAATCCAAATCAGATTGTAAACAGGCATAAATAATATCCAACGCTCTGTTGATAGGTACGTTAGTAAATAAGGAAGAAACATCAAAACTTGCCATTACTTCATCTTCTATGTCGATGATATCAATAACATTTATAAATTCCATAGAGTTTTTAATTCCATGATTAATCAATTTCTCATACGGTTTTAGTATCCTAGCTAAGTATTTCGCTAGGTTGTAAGTCGGTGAATTTGTGAAATCGACCACTGATCATAGTGGACTACTATCCTTGTGAATCTTCGGGAGTCCATAGAATCTACAAGGGTTACAACTTTTTAAAGTATTCATATTTTACCAAAGAAGTAATCTTAGACTCTATATATGATTACTTTGATATTTTGTTAATACTCAAGAAGAATAGAATAAAAGTCAATTTTCTGAAAACCTTATATTATTTCGTCTCATTCGTTAACTTAGTTTATGCCTAACTAATATGCATTCTTTGGTTATCACTTTTCTGTTTTTACTAATAGACAATAAGAACATATGTTCAAGATAAACTACAAGTGACTAGTCGTAGTTGTGTTCCGGTTTGCGTTGAAGCTGATGCTAGGAGATCCGGGTCAGGAATTGTTACATCATGTTGTCAAGACGATTTATGCAATTCTGGTACACAAACACAAATATCCATGACTTTAATCCTATCTTCATTGTTTTCCATACTACCATTGTTATCACGTTACTTTAAATAAAAAATAAACTGATATTTCTCTCCCATTTCACTTGGCACGAAAAGTTTGATTATTGGTATATATTGGTTCTAAATAATTATAGAATTTATACTTTATTTATTATGACTTAATTATGCTTCGTTCACACCATCATTTATTCTTCAATAATAAAATATTTATTATTAGAAGGCTATTTTTTGCTATGATTTAGTAATGATAGCTTAACACATATTGATTATATTATTAAACTGTCTCTGGTCGACGATAAATCTAATTTTGATAATATACGTACACTGAGTAATTAGCTTGTTCATTTTATTATAATTCTTGCATCTAAAACAATTAGTCCCTTTGATAAATTTCGATAATACAATGAGAAGACGAAGTTTATCAGAATTATGTGATATATTAGCGCAATACATTTCGAACAATCTGATCACACATATACTTGCATCTAAGCTTATTTAAATTCCAATAAATTAGTTAATAAATTATCAATCAATGAGTATCAATGATAACAATGATCGTCGATTGAATGTCAAGTAGTCAATAAGATTGGGTAAAAAAAAGTAACTTAACCAAACTGGTCAGTAGCATCGAGTAGCGTTGGTATAAGTGGCTATTGTTTAAACTTATTAGTGGTCACGAAAACATACGTTCCTAAATTATAAATCACACAAATTCTATTGAACCTTATTTGTTTCATAATTAGTTCTTTATTATGTAATAATTATCCTGTAATTGTTCATCACACTGATTTTACAGCTTTCAGAAATGAATATGTCGAAGATATTATGAGTGCATAAACGAATTTTATAATACATCTTAATAAAAGCGGACACCATCTTTCTAACGGTCTACCTTTCCGTAGCTGCTACCTTGATGTAGTGGTCGGCTTGACAATCGTGATGACTCAACCGAGCTATATTGGCTAGAACATATGTTCCTGTAGGTTCTATAATACCGTTGGAGTAAGACTAAAAGCAACAACTGAAGGTCTGAAGGAGAAATCGTATTGCTGACTGTAAACGTGTGTGACGGCAGTAAGTTGTTTCCCTTGGACAACCAGCATCTGCAGCGATGCTTCCTTCTCACAAGGAAGGAGGGGGTCAGAAACGATCGACCCTAAAAATGCACACCTCGCCTTATCCCACGGACTTCCGTCTCCGGCGGTAAAGCCTTTTGAAGAGCGGACCTAACATGTCATAAACCTCCCACAAAAAGGCTGTGTGCGACCGGTCTCAAGCAGTCGCCTCCTGGGCTCTGTGGCCACGCTCCCAGGTCTTGAAAATCAACATTAATACAACTTCCTTTTCAGGTCCCTCAAGAGACAGGGAAGGGAAGGGATATCAGTCCTTATACCCGTAACAGCACACTAGACCAAGATGGTCACATTCAAATCCTTCCTCCACCTCCTAATAACTGTTTTATCTCCATGACTAACCCTTCTCACGTCCCTTTATCTCTTCGCACAGCTACGCAAACGATACGACTACGGGATCTCCTGGTCTCCTGAAACCACTCTCTAAACTACGTGTTGGAGCTTTCAATGTCCGAACATTGTGCCAAATAGGACAACAGGCTTCTTTAGTTAGGACTTTAGAATCTCGCACCATCGATGTATGCTGCGTCTCCGAAACGCGCATACAAGATCTGAGTAGCGTCATTCATTTGACCACACCTAATCAAAATAAAAAACCATCTCGATACACGCTTTGTGTATCTGGAAGCCCTGATGCTGCTTCCCGTGGCCTCGCTGGAGAAGGTATAGCATTGAGTCCTAGGGCAGAAATAGATCCTTTGAACTGGATCCCAGTGAACAGTCGTCTGTGTCCGACTAGAAGGAACACTAAGGACTCAGAAAGATAGGGACACTCGTCGTTGCCTCTTCGTCGCCTCTGCTTACTCTCCAATTGACTACAGCTCAGATGATACAAAAGATGTAAAAGATTTACAGAAAGCTATCCGACCTTTCCCGAAATGCTAGGCTCCCTGATGTAGTAATAGTAGCAGGTGACTTTAATGTTCAAGTAGGTAAACTAAGCGAAAGAGAAAGACACCTGGGTGGATCTTGTGGTGACTCAAACAACAAACGATGACGACCATCAGTTGCAGCTTCGCTTCGTTTCTAACAAACGCGACTGTATGGTGGACGGATAAGGATTCAGAAATCACTCATGGCTACTATAGTTAGTTGACGAGTAATAGGTTTAGCACAGACACGAGGTTATAGAAGTTAGTATTCTGATTAAGGATTTTCTCACGTGATAATTGACAGGGCCATAAGTCATAAATATTTGTGATTTCGGTTTTCAAATGACTGCTTGATAGTGTTCAGACTATCGCAGCGATGTTGTGTTTCTATGTAATATTTATTGGAGGTAGAAGTCTTCAAGATCTGAGTAACGTTTTGCTTAATACAGATTATTACAAAACGTGTGTAGTGTTTGTATGAACTAATAATTCCTTTGTACCTGATATCTGCCTGATTTTGAATTAAGAATAAATTACTTTTGTTTGTGCTCACCTAATTCTGTTTAGTCTAAATTGCACCATTTCGGAGATTCCTCGTTATTAAAATAGCTCAAATTCTTCTGATCATCCCATTGGCGTCGCAGTGGAGCATGTGATGGAGCAGTTGGATGTACATTCAACTTTTGGTGGTTTATATAGGAAGGTTTGAGATCTGGACTATAACCGAAAAAAAATGTTAATATTTTGGCTCATTTTCTAACATTCATCGGAAAAGAAACGTACAATGTAGTAAAACCTTTGGAATCTCTTGAAAAACCTATTTCATTTCCTTATTCAACTCTGAAGGAACTACTACTCTGGTGTGTCCTAGTTATATCGACATAAGTAGTATATAACGTGAGTCCGGAATAAAATTTTTGGCAGCAGAAGATCGAGAAGGGAAGAACAGAAACAGAAAGCAATTGTTGTGGAAATCAGGGAACAATGAAGCTAATGAAAATTTGGCAAATGAAGTATCAGAGTATGATTTTTCTATTTTATCAAGCAACTTTGTAATTTGTAATAAGAAGACGAAGATTATCAGAACTATGTGATATACAGTCGAAATACAGTCGAATGACCAAATAAGAGTAGAGGATAAACATCCATCATCCCCTGTTGCTAAACATATAATCGAGACAGGTAATAAGATTGATGAATAACATTAGGATCACGTCGATTTTTTTAAATAGATTTTTTTGTCCCCTTAATCAAAACATTTTCATCCCATTTTCCAATTTTTTTCAATCCGTTTCGTCCAATGAAATTCCTAGTTGTAAATGCGTTATAATTGGTTATGGAATTCTTGAAATTCCTATAAAAGCTCTGTACTTATCGATATAGATAATTTTCTTCACAATATGGACGTCAGAGACATGCAAATTAGAGGCTCTGTTGTTCCTCACGTAGTCATAGAAACGGAAAATATATTTTTGAATACATTGTATCTGTTAGCGTTTCCATCACTGGAAGCGTTAAGGAGCGCCATTAGAACTTATGAAATAGCAACGTACTGCCATTATGCGGTGAGAGATTCTCATTTCCATGGAGATCGGAAGCCGTATATTAAATTTGTATGTTGGAGAAAGAGCTGTAAAACACCAAGCGGTTCTTCGCAGCCGATTAGACGAAGGAGGTAATTTGATTAGTGTTATTATATTGTTCATTGAGGACTTCAATGGACACACAATGTCCGGCCTTCATCTTTTGTAAGTTTCTTGAAGGTTATTGGACTGTTGTTCGTTGGAATGTGCATCACAATCACGAGTGCAATTCCCTGAGGTACGACTGTAACACATGGATGCGCCGATTAACGGGAGCGGAATTGGAATCAGTGAAGCCACTGCTGATATCTGGAACATCAGCATTCAATGTGATACACTACGCTTACCAATCATATGGGAAACGTCTTACAGCTCAAGATGTTTTCAATATGCGTTACAAAGTGTTCTCACAGGCCAACCTTCCTGGTAAGCAATGTGCATATATATACTATTAACTGTAGGTGATTACGGTAAATTGAAAAATCACTTCACATCACTTGGTGGCCGTTGTGATTATCAATTGGATGCAGATCATAGTCTGTTGTACTTCTTCTTCGCTACAGCAGACCAGATCAATCTGTGTAACAGGTTTTTAGATGTTGTTGGTTTTGATGGGACATACAAAACCAATAATGAAAACATGTTTCTTTATCACGTGGTGGCTCTGGACATGAATTTCATGGCAATACCTGTTTGTATTGCATTTGTAAGTCGCGAAACATCGACTTTGCTGTCCAGTTTCCTCTCGTTCTTCCGCCAAATGAGTAACAATAGAGAGGTTATCGGTATTGTTACCGATGATTCACCTGCTATAGCTGCTGCCATAACGCAGGTGTATCCCAATTCACACCACCTTTTGTGCCGCGTGCACCTTCTTCGAAATGTCATCAAGAGGGTAAGCTTTCCTTTCTTAACAATTAACCCATTCATCGTATTCATAGAGGCTACGATCTGATCTTCTTCAAATGTTCTACCGTCTTATGCTAACAAGAAATGTGGAAAGGTAAATCGAAATATGCTTTACAATGTATTGTAGCTTCCAACGGTATGTGTCATTTATCGAAGCAGCAGACGGGAATTTCTACCAATATTTGAGAGATCAGTTATTGTCCAAAAAGCACAAGTGGTCGAAGGCTTTTAGACCAGCTGCAATGCTTCTAGATCAAAGCAATACAAATTTCGTTGAGACGACCCATCGAATTTTAAAGTTGCATAAGCTGAACAGAAAAACACCCGTGTTCAGATCGATATTTAGTGTTCTGCTTCGCACTGGATATTGGATAGAAGCTAGAGTTCAGAAGTACTCCACTGAATGCCGTAGCAGGGCTGTGCTTGGTCGCGTGCCTCAATTACGTCGTCTTCAGGAAACACTTACACCTGCTGCATGTAAACTGCTTAAGCGGCACATGCGCATTCCTGTTACTGACTACGAATTGTCGGGGGAGTTTTTCACGGCCATTGATACTACAGGAACTTACACAGTCTCCAAAAATCCAATTAGTTGTTCCTGTTTCTTTAATGTAGCACACAGAGTCGTATGTCGTCACATCTTGGCATATTGTTCGCACGATAATGTCGAAGTTCACAGAGAAAGCATTGGTGACAGCATTCCAACAGCTTCGTAACCACAGTAACGATTGGCAATGAGTTACAGGTACAAGTCGGGCAGATAAACGTCCTAACATCGATTCACTACTTGTGTCGGCGTATGTCCGCTGAACAGCATACCGCTGTCCTTAACTAT